TTTGCCTCTATATCATCTATTCTCAAGCACACAAAGGTCTGTGCCCCCTAGTGGCGGCAGGAAACACTCAGGCATGACACTGGACAGATAATTCCATTTAACCACTGGCAACTATACCCCTCCTGTAGACAAGGATGGGAAGAGGGAACCCAGCAGTTCTTGGAAGGTGTTGGAAGGCAGGGACGTGGGTGTGCTGTCAGAGTGGGAGGCTCAAGAGCCACACAAGGGGCTTTCAGAACCCAAGCAGCAAGTTCAGTCACATACTCTGCAGCAAACTTGTCCAGCCGCTGGAAAAGCTCATTCTTCACCTTGAGATTCTCCACGATGGCCTCCACCACCAAGTCTGTGCTATGCACCACGGATGCTGCGTCAGTGCTGGTAGAGAGGCAGCTCAGGGTCTTCGCCACAAACTCATCACCCGCCTGTGCAGACAACAAGAAGAGAGCATTCACTGGGGCCTGCAGGCAAGGGGACAGGTCCTGCTGCTGAGGTAGAAGGAGGGAGGAAGGCGAGAGACCAACACAGCAGACCCCACAGAAGTCACTTGGAACTCTGAGATAGCAAGCTCCCAACCTCCCTGCGGAGGGACAGAGCATCCATGTGCTTTCAGACACCATGACAAGAGTCAGCCTGTGGACAAACCCAACTGACACAGAAAGTAAATATAGAAGTAGTGACTGCTTAAAGAATGTAGAATCTGTTCAAAATCATGAGACATGGGAGCATTACACACCCAAATATAACGATGCCACTGAATTAAAAAGTACTTAAAGTGGGAGACCAGGGAGTGTGACAGATTGAATAGGATCAAAACGTACTGCGTCTGTGTACGGCAAGGCCATAACATAATGTAGAACTCATTGTGTAGACAGCATCATAGTGCCAATAAAACATTAAATCATTAAAATGATGAATTTTATGTTGTATATATAACACATACCACAAAAACCTGTAGGGCAATTGTTGGGGCATGGAGGTCCTTGTGCTCACAGAGAAGCACTAGGAGAACCAGGAGTGTTTATCATGCAGGGAAGGGTGTCTCCTCAACGGACAAGATAAAAAGCAAACCCTGCATTCTATCCAAAAGGCTGCGAGTGGGTTTTGTTAATGCTGGTGACCTTTTTGCTATCTGTGAGACAGATCTTATCTACCTTTTACTATAGAGGCAGTCCTCACCCTAATTCCCCAGAATGCTTATTCCAGATTCTTCCCTCCCTAGACCATTATTCATCAGGAGGGGAGAGATGTCTCACGTACTTTACAGCCTTCTGACCTCTATGCTATGGGTCACAGACCACAACAGATCCTAGGCCTTTGAGCTATAGAGCCCGCCCTCTTGTCACATGGACGTTGTAAAGGAGCTTCCATATAGTCACACCTTAAGCTTTGGCATGCTCCTGGAATGGGCCTGACGGCTGCTTGGAAACCTTTCCCCAAACTGTACTGTGTTTTGGATATGCTGACAGACTGGTATTCAAGTCCCTCAAGTCTGATCCTGGTTGACAAGTTAATCTGCATTGTATTTTCATTCTTATCTCTTCAGTGGTTC